TCCGTTCAGCCACCCAGGCCCTGCACTCTATCGGTTCTAGTTAAAGGTGCCATTACGAGCTGCCCGCCTGCCCGCCTGCCCGCCCTGACCGCTGTCCCCCCTCCGCCCTGGCCCCAAGCCCAATCTAACTCTGTTGTTACCTTTTGATAGCAAAACTCTGCACACTCAATCTCTTCCATTTCCATCCTGCATCCCACTTCCGCCCTCCTGCGCTCCCCTACACAAACTTCAGACAGTTGAACTCTACCTTGTCACCGCCATTGTTCAACATCCTGGGGTCTTGCACATCAGACGCGGCCGTCGTTGCATCTCTTCTGTGCTGGTATTCTGGGTTCTCATACACACCCTCATATCTCCTCCCCCTCTCAGCCTCATTCATCCCACGGCTCATCTCACTGCTGACCCGTCGAGGCCCGTCACTTGCTCTCCCGCGACTGTCACGCAATCACTTGTGCTTACACAACAGTTGGTTGAACGTCCCAATTCTCCTCCATATACACAGCGTTCTGCCTCAATTTCACTCGGGTGAATCAGAGTCTTGTCTCACTGGGCAATCACGCGTGAAGAGAGGCACAGGCACAACTGCAATCTTCCTTACCGGCTGCGGACAGTCTCTTCAGCCTGGTCACGTAGACACGGCATTGCAGCCAGGACCTTTTTACACGCCACATGCCACCATGATTTCTTTGCGGAATCCTCGTATGTTCTCGTCCTTCCCAATATTCAACCTGTCAATGAGCCTTCAGTTGACTTGGCAAACAGCTCCCGGGTCGCACGTCTTAGACCTCCACACTCCTTTACCTTGAAAATTGATTCCCAAAGAGCCTTTCCCACAAGTCCATATCCGAGCCCTCGAGGTCGACAAAGCAGGAGATGGACCGCCTGCAAACAGAAGATGGGCATCATTTCATTCGGGTGAGTGTTATCTAGCATGGCAATCACAACTATGCGCACGCGGGCTAGGATCAAGTCGCTTGCAAAATTCTTCTACCCCCTCCATACCAAGCATCCTGACTGATTCGTTGTGATGTCCTTTGCAGTCTCTGGCGCAATTTATCCGCCAACATGAGAAGGCCCTCGCAAATAGTCTGCAGATGTCTGTTCACAGGCGGCAGGCTTCCCTTAACAATAACTCGGCAAACAGCTCTGTCCCAACCTCTGGTACATCTTCCTCGAGTACAAATACCTCCGCCAGCGCTCTAGCTGCAGCATTCTCCTTTGCTGGCCTCTACTTTCGATCCCATGCCGCGAAGGCGGCATTGTTGACGCTGACGCCCCACCACCTCTTCTACCTCTTATCTCGCATGGAAGAGCTGGATATAGCTGTTGGGCCGATGAACATACGTCTCGAGAGTCTGACCAGCGAGCCTACACCCTCCAACTATGTCTCCTTCCTGCAAACCCACAAACCGTCCAAAGGCCGGAGTGATAAAGATTCGATACATTCCGTGTCCAGCATGCGCAGTGTCATGTCGGGAATGAGCTCTTTTTGGTCGTCCATTGGCCTGGGAGGGGGTACATCCAAAAGCGAGAAGGTCAAAGCCCTAACGCAGGCGGACCTCACCTATCTCTATTCTGCCTTTACCAAGCTTCCTTCTTTGCGCCTCACCACTGATCACCGCGCACGGCTGATCAAGGGATACGAGGAATTCCCCTTCGATACTGCTGTTCCTTTATTTGCTTTCAAGAACCTTCAACAACTGGACATAGTGGATCTTGATTTCCGCCAATTCTTCGGATGGGATCGAATATCCGAACAACTGACACTACTTACGGTCAAGCGGGCTAATGTCAGTGATCCAACTGAGCTACTCACAAACATAGTTCTGGACGACGCTGAGAAACGTCGAAGACGGTCCACCAAAGGAGGACGTGGATCTCCCACCATGTCCGCCTCCTGGACAGTGCCGTCCACCCCACGAGCTGAATATGCACAGTCACATTCCGATCCAGGCTCGCCAGCCCATGGAAGCTTGGATAATGAAGACTCGATGGAGCCAGGGCACAAAGCGAAGCCGCTCTCTGGAAGCGTGTCTCCAAAACGGCCAAGTGCCTCTCGGCCTGCCAGTTCGTATAGGCATGTTCGGACTTACTCGTCGACGGTGAGAAGGACAGGATCTGGAAGTTCCTACTCGAGCGAGTACTCGATCCAGCCGCATCGTAGCGAGAGCAGCACCAACATGCTGAGCTTAAATACCCTACCTCCCTCAAAATGGCAGAGGCTGAAGTATCTATCCCTGGCAGACAACTCCATGACCACCATCTCAGCACAAAGTCTGGCGCCTGTAGCCAGCACTCTTCGATCACTCAATCTCTCTTCTAACCTCTTCAACGAAATCCCAGATAGCTTGGCATCCTTGACGAGGCTCGTTTCTCTTGATCTATCGAACTGCATGATCGGTTCCCTCCAGTCACTGTCGAGATCGCCTCTGCCGGCTATCCTCACAATTAACCTGAAAGGGAATCGCTTGCGGTCATTGGCAGGTGTGGAGAAGCTACTGTCTCTGGAACAGTTGAACGTCCAGGACAATCAGCTCTCAGATCCTATGGAAATGGCAAGACTCACGGGAATACCGAATCTAAAACGGATATGGGTCAAGCGAAACCCATTCACCAAAACGCACTCTGAATACCGAGTGACTACCTTCAATCTCTTTCGAAAGACGCCTGGGTACGTGGATGACATTATTGTCGATGACTCAGGGCCAGGTTATTCGGAGCGAAAGCAGTTGGTGGATCGAGTCCCCGAGGTTGAGCGAGAGCTTTCACAACCATCCATCCGAATTGCTGAGCATCCGGTAATAGTTCAACAGTCTGATCCGGCTCAGCCTGGCTACAGCGAGTCAGCGGAGATTGTCATGAACACGACGCGCCGGAAAAAGCCTCCTCGAAGACGGATAGTAGATCTGGCACACGATGAAACTTTTGCCAGAGTTCCTGACGAGGACTTGGCAGCGACAATCATGCCGAGTGCCAATATCATGGACCATAATAACGTCCCGATTCTCAGTGCCCCGACTATATCACAATCACGATTAGCCGAAGCAGTGGTGGACGACGTTTTCGATGGTTCGACAGAGGCACCATCTGTTGGCTCGAGCGAGCCAGCTCAACAAGATGACTACCGAGCGAAAGTGGAAGCACTCCGACAAGAATTTGGCAGCAATTGGCTCAACGCCTTGGGTGACCAGAATTGGCACAACAGCCATCATTTTGAAGTGTTGCAAGGGCAAAGCCTGAGCCATGATGCCTTGCATCGGTCAGGACACCAGGTCATGGTTTCTGGTGGCGGGCGGACACTGGGATAAGTCCGCCTTCCCAACATGTGTGATTTTTGCTGCGTATGTGCGGCCATTTCTCTTTTCACATTCTTACTAGAGGCCATTCGTGTCTCAGCCATGAGGCCGTGGGTTTTTTGTGTTTTGTTTGCATTGATATACCCATTCGTTGCGATTTTGCCGAAAGACTTTGTGGGATGTATAGCTGGATCGGGGAAACCAGTCGTCGCGTCTGTTTACTGCATGGGATTGTTCGTGGCATTCTGCTCAGATGTGCTTTTCGAAGCATAGCGATGGCGTTTTGTTTTGGTTCTGACGGGATGGGAATCTATTACAGACTGCTTTTATCATGTCTGCATGATTGCATGAAAGCATGAGACCATGGGACTGGGATGGAAGTTTAGTGCCTGTTTGCAGTTGATACATGTTCGCGATCTTGTCCAAAGTACAGTACCAATATCTACATCCATCTCCTGCTTACCGGACAGCGCGTTGCCACCTCGATGGACACAGAACTATGCATAGTACGAATGGTGCTCTTACAATAACAGAGTGCTGACACCGGCAGCAGAATCCTGGCACAGTGTGCCCGGAGTCCGGATATAGCTGGGGAAGTTACGAGGCTCATCCACAAATCCGACAATAAGAACAAGCGTCGAATGATTATCTGCGTATGCAGAGTGTCACCACAGGCTAATTCCCCAGGTAAGGAATCCGAGTCGTCGAGTAAGCGACCACGCAGGATCCTAAAGTCGACACTACAAAGGCGAAGTGATGGCCTAAGGGCTTCGTAGAGGTTGGGAGGGGGAAAGGTATGCAATGGTAGATTCTTTATGGTCGCCACAGCGACGTCAGCTCGTGCTCAAGGGAAATTATGCGCACCCATATCAAATCTCTGTCGAGAGATAAAGGCGAAGGGTTACAGGTATTGCTTTATGTCAGCGTGGGAAGGGCCTTGCCCGTACTTATCAAATACAGTAGATGATGGTCGAAAGGAGAAAGGTGAGAGGTATTTGAGGATGCAGGAAGCCACGGCCACAGTGGTGTTTGGGTGGGCTGATTGGGTGATTAATGAGTGGGATGGATGGGTGGAGGGGAGGAGAGTCGAGGGCGTTTTAGCAGTTAGAGCGCAGCCAGGGGAACGCTGTGTTCGCAGCTCTTCTAGCAGAGAAAACTTGACTGAATGATGGAGAGGACAGGCGAATTGAGTAATGGAGTTACTGGCGTTGTTGTCACTCGTGGCGACTGTCTCATTCCTTCTCGCGTATCTCGTGGTGTCTCTTGTGTGTCTCCTTCTCTTTCTCACCCCAAATTGCATGCTCGCAGGCTGCACACATAAGACTGTCTCTTGTGTTTGCTCTTGTTATGTTTCCTCCTCCTCCCCCTGACAGTGCTTGTACTTCTCTTCACGGTGTCAGACCAAAAAAAAAAAAAAACATTACCAGAAAGAAGAAATAGGAGAGGGAGGATTTCTTTGTCTTGCAACTAAAACACAGCGAGGAGGGTTGGTGCCAAGAGAGGATACCGCCTTGCCGCCTGCCAGGATTTGAGAAAATAGACGAATCCCGCCTTCCACCCACTGATCCCTCCCATTCCCATCCCTCCCTCCGTCCACCAACCACTCATCCAGTCCATCTTATCCCATAACCACCGCAAACCTGCACTGCGTTTCTCATCCGGCCGCAGTTCACCTCGCGTTTCGCCTGTATCAATCGCCCTGCGATCTGTATTCGACTCATTCCATCCTCATTCTTCAACGCACCGCGAATCCGGCTCTTTGTCACTGACACCGACCCACTGCCTGCAAAAAGAAAAATCGTACGGTGTCAAACTGGTGCTCACGAAACCCAACTGCGTTGCCCGCTCTGCGCCGAGAAAACACTCCTCAGCCCTGGCTCATTGTGCCTCCAACATCCACCACGATAACAACACCTTTCTTTGCTGAAGGTCATTGTCCCCTGCGATCTTCATTCCTCCCTCGTCAAGTCTGATTGGGGACTCCTCTCGCTGAACCCGTTTGTTGGGTGCCTCGGGGTCGAAAATTCAATTTTGGTACATACTCTCTGCCACCCCCCGAACTAGTCAGTTGCGTCAGCTGCCACTCACCACCTACAATTAATTCATCCCAGACTGACCCAAAACATTCTTCAGCAGACTAGCATTACCATCTGCACGCCTCGACACCCATTGATTTCCTTGAATCTCCTCTCATCCGACCGCACCTGGTCGCCGCCCCCCCCTTCCTTCCACCCCCTTGCCCCGCCCGCGGCGATCCCACTATGGCCGACGCAAATGAGGTAGACCTCGATTCTGTCATTGATCGCCTGTTAGAGGTCAGAGGAAGCAGACCAGGGAAGCAGGTTCAGCTGCTCGAAAATGAGATTCGCTACCTTTGCACAAAGGCGCGAGAAATCTTCATCTCGCAGCCGATATTGCTCGAGCTAGAAGCCCCCATCAAGGTACGAATTGCTCCTCCCTTGACCGTCAATCTGCCCTCGCGGAAAACAGTCAGACTGATTATCATCGTCGTAGATTTGTGGCGATATTCATGGCCAGTACTACGACCTTCTCCGCCTCTTCGAATACGGCGGTTTCCCCCCCGAAGCCAACTACCTCTTCCTCGGCGATTACGTGGATCGAGGCAAGCAATCCCTCGAGACTATCTGCTTGCTTCTAGCCTACAAGATCAAATACCCCGAAAATTTCTTCATTCTGCGTGGCAACCACGAGTGCGCTTCCATCAACCGTATTTACGGCTTCTACGATGAGTGCAAACGTCGATACAATATTAAGCTATGGAAGACATTTACGGACTGCTTCAACTGCTTGCCGATCGCCGCTATCATTGACGAGAAGATCTTCACCATGCACGGTGGCTTGAGTCCGGATCTGAACTCAATGGAGCAGATACGCCGTGTCATGCGACCGACGGATGTGAGTGTTCCCACCTTCTTGCGAAGCCGGCACGGTCCCGGCTGTTCTACATGAGTACTGAATCCACTAACGAACAACAGATTCCGGACTGCGGCCTCCTTTGCGATTTGCTCTGGTCAGATCCCGACAAGGACATCACCGGCTGGAGTGAGAACGATCGTGGCGTGTCCTTCACCTTTGGACCCGATGTCGTGTCACGATTCCTGCAAAAACATGACATGGACCTTATCTGTCGTGCACATCAAGTGGTGGAAGACGGCTACGAGTTCTTCTCCAAGCGACAGCTGGTCACCCTGTTCAGCGCTCCAAACTACTGCGGCGAGTTTGACAATGCTGGTGCCATGATGAGCGTAGACGAAAGTCTACTTTGCTCCTTCCAGGTACGGCACAAACCCTCTGGATCCTTGAAATATCCTTGCTGACTTTCCACCCGCACCAGATTCTCAAACCTGCCGAGAAGAAACAAAAGTACGTGTATGGCTCCAAGAGCCCAAGCGGGTCCAATACTCCGTCTCGCAAATCCAAAACCTAGTTCCTGCGACTCGGGCTGATCGATGTCATTGATAGCAGGTTTGGAAGAAGATAGGGTCACCTTCTGGCTTCCCCGTCGATCCGGTCTCGCACTCGACCAGTGTCCTTTCCCTCCGGTTCCGAAGCATGCGACCAACCGCCACCACTTGATAGTTTCCACGCTCTCATGAACATCTCATCTTTTTGGACCTGCGAAAGACTTCCCAGTTACTCATTTTCATCAATACGTTGACTAGCCTCTCGGACCTGTCAATTTTTTTGGAGGTCGGACGCCAGTCTTTAGTATCAACAATGGCAAAATCAGTCATGACGACAAATTCGGCGGCAAGGTATTGGGTCGAGGCAAAGTTCAAGGACGAGTCGGCCTAAGTACTTTTCATGGGACTCTTAATGGAAATGGGCTCAGGGATGGTGATGTTTTGTGGAACAGGGTCGTGGTGTATGAGACATGGAGAATGTTTTTTTGACCACCCGGAACTTGACCCCGTGTTCGCGGTGTAACTGCCGATGTGGTTTTGTCTGTGGGAAAGAAGGAAAAGAGATGTTGCTGGAGCGCAGGGCGCAAGGCGAGACTACTTTCCCCATTCCAAATGTACTACGCAAATGCCGGTTTTGCTTTCCTGCCTTTTTTTCGATGCGGTGATGAAGGATGGACAAAGAAACGCCCATGGAATGAATGAATGCACGGTGCAGAACAAGAATAAAGCAGATCATACCACACGACACAAAGCAGAGCAGTTACGCATCGAGTTAGCAGTTGAATCCGCTCCCTCTGTATCAAGATGACTTTAAATCAGTAGTATGCTGTGAGTGTAATAGAAGGTTTTGTTGTTATTTTGGGATGAGACGAGAGAGAGAGTGCGTAAGACGAACTGCGCCTATATATCTTTCTTACGCCATATCTTACAGACTGAGTGTTGTGGGTGTTGGACCTTGAAGCTGAGAATAAAGGAGGCGGGTGAGATGTACGTCGTGGATCCATCTCGAGGGCTATATCTACACATTAGGTACCTAGGACGTTCAACACAACACGTATATATATATATATATATATACCCACAAGGCACATACATACCATGTACATTGACTCTCTATGCACATACACGTGGAACTTGGGTATCTGTATGTTCTCTCTGGGCTTACTCCCTTACTAGGTATATAGGTAGACAGATAGGTATGTGGATATGAATGTGTGTGTTGGCACAGACTGGATCGATAGTGATGATGATAACGATGATGGATGCGGTCAAGAATCGACAGAAAATCTCATTCATTCATCCCATTCAACGGTCTAATAATACCTGTTTAGCTGACTACCTGCCTCCCTCTCCACCGACCGCATGTTCGTTTAGTCTGTTTAGTCTGCCTGTCTGTCTGTATGTCTTGCCTGTTTTCTCTCCTTCTCTTTCTCTGCCCGAGTCTTGTGTATTTCCGTTGCCGTGTTCTTGTTTTACTTCTCTTCCTCTCTTTCTACCCGTCCGCGCTCTCGTCTTATCTTGTATGTTCTTCTTCCAGCATGTGTATCGTATTGTCTCGCGTCAAAAATGTTTGATGGGGGGTTTGCATGGGAGTGGCCGCTGCTCAAATGAAGAAAATGGCATTGTGTCTTATCAACTCGATTTTTGACTCCTTTTCGTACCAAGGGCCCATTGAGCGGTATGGTTGATGTATGTGTGTGCATGGAATGGGACGGCGGACGGGGTTTGAGGAACTGATTGATTGATTGATTCTCTGACGAAAGGGTGAAATTGGGACTATGGGGATTGTGGCTCGACAGATTGAACGTATCGATCGCTGAAGGCCGTCGGGATTGCCTCCCTTTTGTCATTATGCATCATCTGCTCTGCTGTCTTTCAAACATATTGCGCCAACCACCTGATACCCTCTCCATAACCCTGCCTCATGACAACACTGCACATAAACACCTCAATCGGCCTGATTCCCTCGAGTGGTACCTTGCCCTTGCCCGTAGTCTGATACAGGCCCAGCTGATGTCTCAATTCATCCTCTGACACCGCATCCGGGTGATCGATTTTGTTTCCCAGAATCAGGAACGGCGTCTTCGCGAGGTCTTCCATTGCCAGTAGAGCATCGAGTTCTGCTTTGGCTTCCGGTAGACGTTCGTGGTCCTTGGCGTCGACGAGGAAGACGATGCCCGATACCTCGGGGAAGTAGTCGCGCCAGAGACGGCGCGCTGCGCAGGAGTCAGTCCACCTGGCTGCGTCGCCCCGGAGAGCTGCGAAGTGGTGTCCAACGTACCTTGTTGATGACCACCCAGGTCAAAGGTTGTGAATCTGTTGTTTCCAATGGCGAGTTCTTCGGAAGCTGTGCCAGAGGTTGTCAGTATAATATACTGATTCGAAGAGGGTCATTGGGGATGTACATACTGGGATGTAATGTTGGTTGCAGGATTGCGACACGGTCATTCTATAAAGCAGCACGCATGGTCAGCTTTCGAACTCTACAACCGAACGGAGTCCAAGATTGCAGCTCCTTCACATCCATGATCAAAGCCATGGGTCATGATAGGCAATCCCAATCTCTTCCTGTCCAGTTCCGCACCACACAAACTCCGCGGTTTGTTGCTTCAGAGCCCTCTCACCTTCAACATGTGTAATAGTGTTGTCTTTCCCGCATTATCGAGACCGAGGAAGAGGAGTTTGGCATGCTTGTTGAGAAGACCCAGAGAGGCGAGGATATCGTAGACTAGAGTGATAACAGCCATCAGGTCAGTCTGTCCTCTGCACAAGCGCAGGAAGTCCATTGCACGTACACCAGTTTATGATCCACATCTTTGCACGTCCGAACGAGGCAGAGGTGGTCTTTGAAAATATGGGAGCACGAAACTAACGAGGAGGGCGGATCGCGAGAATAAGAGTGATAAACGCACTCGGCCAGATCTCACGGCAGGAAGTGAGGTGATGGGGTGCCACCGTTGAGAAGTTCCGAAAAGAGAAAGAATCCCAAATACTCGGAGTTTAGACTTGGATCGAAGAATCTTTCACGTGAGGCAAAGTCACGTGAAATACAACACAGAAGATCACATTACATCACTCTTGACATCCTCGGCGTCAACCATCAATCGACTTATGAACAGGAATAAACAAAATACTTCTTTGTGCTTTGTGCATATCACGCTCTGCAATCGAGTCTGCCACTCGAGAGAGCTTTTTTGATATTGTGGGGACCATGCTGATGGTCATGTCACATATTTACAACGCAAGATTCGCCTCCCGCGACGTGCGCCGGTGCTATGCATATAAATGCCCCCTGGATCCCAAAACCGTGCTTTGTGAAAAATGATATGCTGGCTGTGCGATAACCCTTGTTGCTCCCACCCAATCCCATCATCAATTCGTCATATTCGAGCGCTAGTCCGCACCGATATATGTTCAAAAAAGCTCCAAGTGAGCCGAGGGGAAATGGTCGACAAGTAAAATAATATATGTGTAAAAGGGTGGACTTGAAGGGAATCAAAGTGAAAGTACCAGCTGAGTCTGTTGCCCGATGCCGTAGCCTTTTGTCCGCTCAGCACATTCTAGACCCAGCTCCTTCATGCGCTCCGCTCCACGACCGGGAACCGGTTTCCGTTCAGACTGTTCCTTGGCTGCTTTACGACAATGTTGACGCCAGTATTTTTCTTTGCGCTTTTGGCGTTTCTTTTCAAGCCCGGCAACAATGTCAACGGGGCCACGAACGTGCATGTCTGGACGGAATGGTTCCTCAAGAGCGGGAGTGACAGCTCCAGACGCAATATTGGAGATGGAAGGACTGCCAATGTGGAAGTTTTTGAAGAATGGATTAGGAGTATCAGGGAGGGACGCTGTCCGTTCCATGCCAGGACGTTGAGCAAGACCTCTTGGGTTGATCCTGGTCCGGATACCAGCGTTTGTCGGCGACCCACGAGGAGAACGCAGCTTAGCTTGCGGAAAGGGTGACCTGAGTCGAGTGGGAGAATGCCCAAACAATTTTCGAGGTGGTGGTGATCGTGCAACGGCATGCCTCGGCGGCGGCAAGCGGTGGATGCTGCGACCGACTCTTCCGCCGAATGCAGTGTGGGGTGGAGAGGGTGAATGGGCGATTGGCATGGTGAACGACGCCTTCCGGCGTCCATGATGCTCCTCGTCGAAATCTGCAAACCCGTCTTTGAGCCATCGCGGGCCCTCGGAGCTGTGTTGCGATTCGTCGACCTCTTCGTCGTCACTGTTTTCTTCGTTGTCTTCCGGATCAGTCGTCGGGAAGCTCGGGTCTATATCTTGTGGGATGGGGATGTGCTTCTCTCGCTTCTTTTGCTCGCGGCATGAGATGTACGCGGCCTCCAACGGACGATCCTCGTCAAGAGTTCCGCAGACAAAGTCGGTGCTGTCGGGCAACTCTGGTGTGCCAGGTCTCATCTTTGGCACTTTGAAGGCGTTGTTATTGCGACGTCTTCCAACTTGCCTCATCATTGAGTGAAGGGGAGGCGTACTCGATCGAATCAATGACTCGACGGAACTTGCCTCGGATTGTCGACGGGCGCTGAAGTGGCTGATGTTGAGATGGTCACTGCTCATGGCAGCACCGGTGTTCGAAGGCGCCCAGAATCTATACTCGGAGCCGCCGTCGCTCTCTTCGTCGGAGCTAGCGAAGCCTCCTTCGTCGTCAGATTCATTGCCACCATCGGTGCCATCATCGGAAGGAGCGAAATCATCCTCATTGTCATTGTATTCATCCTCAGATGCATTTCCGAGTTCCTCCTGTTCTCGTTCTTCTTCCTCCGCCTCCTCTTCGGCTTCACGACCAATTTGCCGGATGCGGTTTTCCTTTTTCATGCAATCATCAAAGGTGAGCTTCTCCTTGTGGACATCTGGCTTGTCAACCCATGCGTCGGTCTCATCCTGAGATGCTGCAAATTCGTGAAAGGCTGCCTTTGGGGAAGGTGGGGTGAGTCTGGATTTCTCGGGACTAGCTACTCTAGTTGTGTCGGTCGAGTGGCTGGAGAGGTCGACAGATTCTGAGGTGGACTTGCGCCTGAAGGGGGCAGGAGACGGGCGCCGTGCGTTCTTTGCTTCAGCCCGTAGCTTGGCGGGGGAGTTTTTCATCTCGTTTGTGCTCGTTCGAGAGGGGCAAGCGAAGGTGAGTGCACACTTCCGCTTGGGGGGCTCGGGTTGTCCGGCTGACGGCTTTTGCTTGCTTAATGCCTCGCTTTCTTTGCTCTTCTCAGAATCCGTGCCCCCACAAGCAAACATGATGCAACGCTTGCGGCCTAGTGTCTTCTCAACCGCGGCTTCGCCAACTTCTGCCACTGCTTCCCTTTCGTCCTTCGTCACCGGGGCGATGAGCACCTTGGAGCCTGTTTTCTTGAAGTTGAGGAGGGTGCCGAAGCGTCCTGAGGGAGGTGGTGGACTGGGCGTCGCCGACGATGACTGGCTGGTGTCCCCATCACTCGTCAACTCGGCAGTCGACGGCATGCTCGCTGTACTATGGGAGGAAGTCGTCGATAGCCCACGGTCGGCGAATCTATGAGAATCATCTTCGTGCTTGGATTCCGCCAGAATGGCTCGAGTCAAAAGAGACTCGCGGCGAGGGTTTGGAGGAGCGGGAGATCGATGGTAGGCTGCCTCTCGCGTTGGGACGACGGTCAATGGGGATACGTGGTCGTCCGGTGGTTCATCAGCGTCCGCACTGAGCTCGTCGTCACCGAGAGGAACTGTGGGGGCGTTTGATAGACTAAACATTTTGAGTAAACTCTGCATGGCTGAACCTCTTCGGGTGGCGTCCATCTGGTGTTTCTGGTGATGTGCCATCTGGATTGCAGCCAGGAGTGACAAAGCAAGTGATGTAAAGGTATTGAAAGGAGAATGCAGGAACTTTTTCCCACAGCCCGACACAGATGGCGATCAAGTTCAGGCAGGAACGCTACCAACACCAGTAGCCGAATGGCACTGTTTGGTTGGTGAAGGAAATGATTTTATGTTGGCCCACAGGGACCGCCGCTGTTATAAATTCGACTTGGACATTGTGTGAAGATTAAAAGTCAATTCCTCTGAACACCAGCAGAGTGGTAGAGCGTGAACCGGAAAGTCTTTAGAGGGGAGAGGGCGGCGCGACAGGTGGCGTTCTGCGGTGACTGCTGCGTCCCAGGACTTTTGCGAGAGCGTAATTTCGAGACACAGGAGATCTGGAAGGTGTCAGTAAGATGCGAGTATATGAGTTGGCATGAATCAGATTGCTTACGAGAAGAGAATGTGGTCAAGAGACCGAAGGTGCTGGATGAGAGGAGCAGTAGGAAGAAGACGGATGGAGCGATGGCGAGGATGGGAAGTGGGAGTGGGTGGTAGTAATCGCAGGTGGTGTGCTTGTAGGGAGCAGTCGGGATGCGGGAGTGGAGAGGGAAAATTTGGAGAGGAAGAATAATGAACAAAGGACGACGGTGAAGAGGAAAATGGGTGAAAGATGAGGGAAAATCGCGGGCAGCCGGAATAGTAGCAAGCGAGAGAGGGTGGCAGAGTGTGGCAGAGGGATGCCACCAATTATGGCACCAATGGTACCCGGAATGGGATGGTTTGGATGGCAAGAAAGAGAAAAATTTGGAGAAGGAAAAAAGATTTGTGAGCAGAGGCAGAGAGAGAAGTAGTTAGTAAGAGGCCAGAGACCAGCGAACACACATAAACAAAACCCAGCGACGCAGCCATTCAGCCAGAAGATGCCAGGCCAGACGAGACCCAGTTTGGGGGGGGAGGGGGGTGCCTAGCCAGTCAACAGTCAACGGATTTCAGCCATTAGGTGTGTTGTTTGGACGGGTTCCAGTTGGACTGCTCATTGTTGGGTTTCCCCTAGGTACCCAGATGACCCCGCTATTAGGTACTCTGTAGGTCACTAAGGCGCCTAAGGAGGTAAAGAGTCTGGCCTGGGTTGCAATTTTAACTCGTTCCTCCTTACTGGTAAACTCTTTCTCAGTGCCCGTAGTTGTAAGTCCTGGGTACAAAAGTCGACACCTGCGGGCATGTGGCTTCCCCCTTAGCCAACTTTTCCCGTGCCTTGAAAAGAGGCCAACAAAATCCATCTCATCCACACAGCCCACCATCCGCCGCCTACCACCCACCGCCCACTCAACTATCGAGCACCGACCACCGTACCACTAACTCTCAAACGGCAACTCGTCGAGATCTCGGAGCTGGATCCCTCGAGGTTGATCAATTCCTCTCGGCGGCAAAGGGCCAAAAAGACGCCCGAAGCTAGCCTGCCGTCTCCAGCAATCCTGCACTTGAAACCGCCCACTTTGACTTGGATTTTCAGACGGGATCTCCTCAACCAGCAAAATGGCCCTCGGTTTCTATTAGGGTTTTCGCCTCCCGAACTACTCGTATCCCACTTGGTGGTCCCTGCGACCTTGTGCGTTGGTGAAATTGCGCCCCTCCACAGACGGGTAGCGATCGGTGAAAAATAACACAATACTAATGCAAAGAGCAAGAGAGGATTAAAGGGAAACAATGACAGAACTACTGCAGGGTACTTGATCAAAACCAGTCCGTCATGCTCTCTGGAGTACACAGGATCGAGGAACCAACAAGTCCCAGTACACCGCCTCGGTACCATTGTACACGCGGGACACGCTTTGCTTCCTATACAGGCACACAGGCTCCAAAGCCTGGTACTAATTTTATATTGGTTTGTGTCCCTCACAGCCCATTGTTGATCCCGCTGCATGGGCAGCCAGGAACCAGAGAGAAAACCCTGGTGCCACTTCGATCGACATGGTCATCTGTCGCCACTGTCAGCTCGTTGCACTGGTGGTGACATTCTTCTGTAACATCTGGCAGTATGATTGCCAAGGTGACCATTTTCGGGTGTGCCTTTTTCGATGGGGGCAGCTCCCGTGGACCGTGGACCCTGATAGTTCGTGTGTCGTAACTTGTTCCTAGGTCCTGCAGGCATCATGACCGGGATATTTCGCCGTCTTGACGCAATATGACAGCATACGTCTCGAAATCTGGCGCGTCATCTAAGCTCTCATCCAACAAGAACGCGTTGTCATTTCCAGGTCTGTATTTGTTTGGTACTTGAATCAAACCTTTTCGCCCACCATGAACTGCCGCTGGTCAAACGGCGTCTGCCCTCCCGAAATCAGGTTCTTGGATCTGCTACATCATTGACCACTTGACCTGCGATCGCTTTGCAGCATATTCGTTACTGCCGAACCGCTTGACCTCTTCGTGATGGAAGAGGAGTGATCTGACGCAAGTGGGAAGTATCTTGAATCCAAGCATTACTTGGCATGCAATTACGGAGTACATTGTGCGGTTTCGTGGGTTGGGATACCTGGTACTATCGAACTTGGTCCCAGGTCTCATTGTGTTTCAACGCCCGTCATCCTTAACCTCGTCCTGTATCTGCGTTTTGATGCCCTGGGCTACGCCTTCAACTCAGGCTGGATCCCCCAGTCTCCTGTCAGCTGACATGACGTCAACCTCAAAGCCTCACAAAGACGCGTACGAGGTACTCCCTGCTCTTACTCTCTTTGTACCACGTACTTGTACTCGTGGGCAACTGGAAAAATCCTCCAGGATGCTAAATCATTATGTTGTGGGATGACCTTAGCATGCTCACAGGGGAAACTGACTCCCTCGTGCCCATTTCACGGGCCGCACGGCTCGAGAGGTCTTACCGTCGAAGACATGGATGCGAGGGCTGTCTTTCAAGCGCCACCGCGTATTCCTCCAATCTCTTTCCTCCCGCGAGACCTCCAAACATGACATGATCTTCTGACAGTGCAGTACCGCATCCTGTATACTCACTGTAGTATTATTGCTGATGCTTTTCCCCACTGCTCACTTTGCTCACCAAGAGGATAGCTGCAGAGGTGTGACGGAGATGTTCGGACGCATAGGGCCAGTCAAATGCAGGCACTACCGCGTGCTACAACTCGGCAGCTTGCCCCGATGCATTATTCGCAGAGATCTTTTTCTGATGTACACATCCACAGCGGTCCGCATGCGCATGAAACCAGCGACCCTTTGCACTGTCTGACGGTGAACAGGCGGTCTGTGCCACTCTGTTCCTCAAAAGAATGATTCTAGAAGCACACGCACCGGTGACACCGAAGATAAGACAGCTGAAGCACCAGGCAACCTCAGTCATCTGGCTGACCACGGGCCTTCTCACGATGTATTCATTCTCAGCCATGTTGCGTGTTGCATTCAGTTGCACGTAAGAATGCGAGCTGCTGTTAGCTTGGACTACTCACAGAGCTCGATAAAGCTATGCTGTAACGACGCAAGTGGTTTATTCATCCACATCCACAGTGTGGGGATAGCTGCATGGCCAAGCGAGCGTCCTCCACACTATTAAATCGGCAAGCGAGGTCGCGGAAGCTCAAGTGAGACCACGACTGCAGATGCAAGTGCGCCGTGGGATATGATCACAATTCAGAGTACCAAATACAAATTGTCAGTGACCTTGGGCGAGCTTGGGGATCTCGAACGGACAAAGCAGAAATGTGAATGGGCGGAGACGACAACGCACAGACCAGTGGAGCCACCGGCGGGTCTGGTCCACAGCCCCATTGAGAACGGACTTTTTACTATGAGGCATTTTCAATTAGCGAATCGCAGTGAAGAATAAACTGGGTGTTGATGGAGACTAAAAGAAGGCTAATGCAACAACCACTTTGAGAAAGAAGCAACTTGTGACCACTGACCAAGTCCGCCACTCACTGACCGAGGTTTCCTTTTGCCTACCCCTCACCACACACATTCCCATTCCTTGTACGAAGAAGAAAAAACGGCGACTCGTGTTAGCGGGCTCTTGCTAGATGTAGTCTTGGCGACTACGACGCGACATTCGAAGCTCGTACTTGTAGTTCACAGCTGCTCTCGTCTTGACGACGTGTGTGCGGCGCTTACCATCTCCCAATAGAAGGCGAGCACTGCTTTGGGTGTGTTGTTTTCCAGATGGAGTAACCTCTGTTTGAATTTCATTTTCCAGCAAAGCCGTAAAATGCTCTCAAAAGGTCAGCGCCTGCGTCCGATATTTTGACAATCGTCTTTCCGGGTTTCAGATGTTCAGCTTGCTACCCCGCGAATACCCCGTGCATCTTGTAACCCAAACAAGGGATCGTTGGTCATTTGCCTACGATCACCCATGGCCAGCCCAAAGACAAGGTAGAAGTTATCGTATAGCAATGCTCACGAGATCACGGCTCGCCGCATGCAGGCAGGAGTTGGCGAAACGGACGGTTCGTTGCTAAGAAACTATCGCAACCCAACCGAGTAAACCTACGAAGAGAGGTGTGGTTCACAGTGTCGTGCAAAAGGGGGTTCCGACTTCCATCACATGAGGCCCTCCCTGCGCTGTCTCACCGCACTTTCTCCTGGACGACGAGCTTCTTCTGAGAGTTTTGTCCAACGTTCCAAGACTTGCGGTCCGGGGTAAAGGGCACCGACGCCGAGCCAAAGGGGCTCCTCCCAATCTCTTGGCTTTTGATAGATCTTGAGCAAGGTCCGAGAATGATCGACTGTCGATGAAACGGGATGAACATCAAGTCCCCAGATTCAAGTCAGCAAGATGCTCAGGGTCTCCAGGGATGATCTTGAAGCCATCTGGAGCCAAAATAACAACTCAATCTGACCAGATAAAGATAAACATGAAGCCAGAATATATCGAAATGGCTTCTTAGCGCTCGGAAACTCAATTGTCCAGAGTAGCCTTGTCCTTTCACCTCTATATTTTCCAACAAGATTCCAATAATGATTGATGATTGTAGTGATGTCGCTCAGATACGGATGGGGTGCTCCTCGTTTGTGATTTCGGTATTGCGAAGCCTCTGTGGAGCGTTGGGAAGTCCCATATAGACAAGGCCTCACTTTTGGTCCTTCCGGTCTTCCCTCCCGCCTCCATCCGACCAACTTGGTTTCGCCGTCCCTTAAATATCAACAGCTTACCTGCACTGGGTTTGATATTGGAACCTCTTCCCACAAGAGGAACTATCAAGCATTGAGACTGATGCAGATCACAGCTCAAGATGTCGACAAATCCATAGTGCGGACTTGGCACGGAGTCACGAATCCACGGCCGCGTAGACGAGGCTGTCTTGGAGCCTTGGCCTTTTGAGGACCTGAGCAACTTTCTACTTTTCTTGCAATGACAGACGGACTGACCCATCATTAAGCCTAGAGCATACAAACCTCGACGTCTGCTCCCCAGTTTTCTCAACATTTCTCTTCAGCCGCCAGGATTTCTGCGGTCCGAATTGACCTGAGCCCGCGGGAGATCCCGTCAGACCTCATTACAACTCCTATCGAAGAATCCAAACATACCCGAAGAGGGATCTTCCCAGTGTCGAAACAGCTTGTGAGGCAAATTTGAGGCTGTCATCTGCGATAGAGACACTTTTGGTGATGTCGTCTCCGGAAGAACCACTCGTGCGGCCACCAGAATCAGAAGGCGATGACCCCATCATCCACCCATCCCTCCAGCGGTACATCCACGGACTTCCGGATTCACATACAAACTACGCACGCTTCTTCTCGGCCCTGCTCATCCCGCAACAATCCCACGAGCAGTTCTTCGTCGACCTGAAGCAGTTCCGCGAGCAACCCACCATCATCTACCTCCTCGAGCCGGGAACTTCCCAGAACTACCGCGCCGTCTCGCGGAACTTTGTCGGTTCGCGGTTCGCACACCCGTGGTGTCGGGTGCACAGCGACTTCGTCAAGGGATGGCGTGGGGCCAGCTGGGTTGGGAAATCGGGGACCCGGGTCGACGAGCAGATGAAGAAGGAAGAGGAGCGGCTGCACAAGCTGCTCGTCCCGATCTGGATCGCAATGAGGAGGAGGATGTTTCCCGGCGAGGACGTGGTTAGGGAGTGGATTGTCAAAGAGGACGAGCGCGAAAGGGCCGCTGCGGAGGAGAAGAAGAGGCTCAAGGCAGAACGGGCGGCGGCCCAGTCGGCGGCGCCTGATGATGCCTCGATGCGCACTCTTTCGTCAGGCACGCCGCCTGGCTATTCCGAACTCGGCTTCGCAACCACAAAGTCGACAAAGCCGTCGCCGGTGCACTCACAAGTCACAGATCCTAGCGGAGCCGCGGCCGCATCTAAGCTGTTCCTGGGCGTGGCTGTCACGGGCTTTATCATGAGCGACAAGCGCATCCAGAAATACGTCGAGAAGAAGATGCGCAAGAAGTGAGGGCTCTGTATTCGTCCACCCCGCTCGACCGAAGCGACAAGGTGGATGTTGGAACTCGCCTTTCCTGTCGCCTCAGCAAGGATGAAAATCACGACACCGACCTGGGTAGTTCGGCCCTTGTGCTGTTGAACCTATACCACTAGCATGGCCACTACCGCGCACGCGCCTCATGCATCTATACCCCGTTCGGTGTCTGATGAGTGGGACATAGGGCCAGCAAAGGGCAACATGATGTTTGTTCGGCTATTGAGCCCGTGGTCTGACTCTCATCTGGTTGCACACCCAACATCCCTCGGACCGATTGGCTCAAAGCCATATGTGCGACGACGTTCGGGACCACGATGGAAGCCAGCATGGATCATGATTTCACAATGATATGCTGTGCCGGCAGGGGCTGATCGCTTCACACTCTCTCTTCTTCCAGTCCAGTCGAGCCATGCCTCGGTCGTTGACTGTTCCGGTCTGCTGTCGGCAAGAGGGTAAAAGGCTCGAGGACAATGTTTCAGGGGAAATACCAGTCCTATGTCGAGATGTAACAATAATATAATGGCTGTAAGAACAGGTTCATGCACCGTTTTCTGTACTCTTCCAGTGCTGTCGTCGGTGTTAACGTCGTTTATTCTCCAAAGCATTTAGTTCTGAGCTCTCGGGCATCACTTTCCGCAGCACTCGACAGACCCCGAAGTTAGAAAAGGGATATTTATTACATGATGGATGACGGTCCATGAGCTTTGGGCTTCTTCACGAGGTGTCCGATGAGGACATGGGACGTGCTGTCACCGCCTAGGGGTTGTTGTCGCTGGGTGGATGTCGATGCAATGTTGCACCAGAGCCTCGCGTTTTTAATTGTTTTCCACAAACTTCAAACCTTCACCACAACCATAACCTCACGCTCACAACTGCAGTCTGTAGACTGCTATCCGAACTTCTCTGTCGTTCTGGACGCTGTACAGCTCAAGATGGCTCTTTCTGCCATCTGCCTCGCAAGCGTAACGATCCTGTCAGGTCAATGCTTGGTCTGCTCGATCTGCTCGACCAGCAGTGCTCACTGCAATTCCGAAAAGGTGTCATCCGGTTGATCCATGCGCTTCGAAAAGGCCAGGCTTGCCATTGATTTCGAAGTTCTGCTTGTCAACCCGTTCTGCAGGTATTGAGCCTTTACCATGCATGCATTGACCATGGTTGAAGCTCCTCGCCGTTTGATTCACTCACCTTCCGTCCATGACCAGAACTGGCCTCCTCCGTCTACTCGGCCTCAAAGCCTGGCTGATGAAATGGAAAAAGATCTGCCCTGTTAGCGATTGGCGTGAGCTTGCTCTCAACCTTGACTGTGTCGGGAATGCAGGACCACGACGATACATCTGGCAGCCATGAAGGTCATCTTTTGCGGACCATCTATTCGAGATATAAAGACCATGACTTCTCACAGTCATGGCCCGCTCAGGATACACCACAGGTGGAACTCAGATATGCGAGGCTGAGGAAAGGACGGGGATATCAACGGTACGGCGCGATCTGATAGCCGATCAGAATTGGATGCTGTGTGCTGCCGAGTCTCAGTATGGGATGCAAATGGCGGAAAATCATGAGTTTCATCCTCGGAGTCGACTTACTGCTACTCGCTCCGGACATGACTGACCTGTTCAAGATATATCTCTTGGACAAACAGGGCCAGCATCCAGTATACGGCCGTTTCCGAGACTGGTCTGCGCTGAATCTGAGCAAGGGAATACAAAGGACGTTGCAGACTTGGAAGTCGAGGGTACTGCAATGTCTGGGACCCCGGAATTTCTGTCTAGACTTCTTTCAGCGATCACCTTGCTAACAAAGTCACATTGACGGCAATACTGAGCAAGGCAGAGGAACCTGGGAGCCCATTCATATTGGACTGTGCCACCCAGAGAAGCGCGGGCATTAGCTAGACTCACAAGCTCCACGAAAAGACCAAGCTATCCACTCGGCGAGATTGAACGATAGAAGCCACGGGAAGGATACGTGCACATATTTTGCAACTTCATAAGCGGGTGTGAGAACTTCAGCCGCAGAGGACGGTGGTGATGATGCCTTTTTTCGACCCCTATCTCTATTCTGACGAGTGTCTTCTGTATAATCCTGTCCGAGCCTCCTACTCACCGATAGCAGGTATCACTTTTGGAGCATACACAGCACGGCAATCATGGCACCCTTGCCGGTGTCAGTGCACTCACAAACGGAGACACCGGGACAAGCTTTGGGACCACGATGCCGCTGTACCCATGCAAATCACCGGCACCGAGAGGGACAGGATCCTCTTTCAGAGAGGATGCCAGCCGTGTCGTGACGGTCACATAACCAAGAAACATCGAGGCCCCGAATCCGCAGACTTCTTCCTGGGACGTTGTGCTGACGAGTCCTCCCTTGCTGGGGTTTTTCGTCGAAGCTGAAATTCTTGCCCACGTCGTTGTCGCTGGTCCATTGATGACTGGGTAGGTATTTGTGAGAAGTAAAACTCAGTGGGACGGTGATAGCGATATATACATCCTCTCAATGGTGTAGGGGTGGGTGTGCTCTGATCAAAGCGCGCAGTTATGTGGCTGTATGTATGCCTACAATGTAAGTAGACAAGACATTCTCGATTCTGTTCTGAACTCCCCCTCGTTGTCTCAACAACTCGCGGTGTGCGGCGCGGTGTGTGTATGTGGTCGATATGCCTCCATATTGTGTCAGCCTTGCCCCTCGAAGGAGAGAGCTTTGACCGCTATGCTGCAACAAGGAACTCTCCTTGTAGGGGCTGTCGACGGATTTTCTTCAGGCAATCAATCATTATCGCGGATGAAGGTCATTCTAAAGACTTGTACACAGACGATTATTGAGTTTCAGAATGGCCCCTGGGAGTCCTCTAGAGCAGGTCAATCCGGCAACGAGGTCAATGTGGGACAGAGCCTGGATTACCTAGGTAGGTCATGTCTGCCCTAACCCGGTGTTCGAGTCTTCAGGACGCAACATGGTCGCTCGGAGGTAGTCACACTGGGATTCAGGGCATGGCCTTGCACTCTCTGCAGGGCCGTCCAACCGTGTTGCTGAAACGCTGAATGGCCACGTCACGTTAACTGGAGAGGGAGGCAATGGGACGGACAAGTGGTGAGTAAGCACGATGTGATACACAAGCGAGGGAAAGAGGGAGTGTGAGACAGATGCCTTTGAAGTACCCAAGTCCCACACGGCTATGTTCCTCACCAATCTTGGTGAAAATGGCCTTTCGCTGATCCCGAGCGCGAGAGCATGTTCAACACCCACTTCCATCGACGTACTTTATCTTCTCAGCTTCCTTGGATTCTCTGTGAGCGCATCGCGCCAAAAATGCCAATCGTTGGGCGTCGAGGCCGGGTATTCCGGGGCGCGGGTCGTCCACCTGGCCCACGTCTACTTCGAGCCAACCGAACCTCGACAAGTTTCCCTAGTTCGCCGTCGTCGAGGACTTTGGGTTCGTGGAGGAGCCTCTTGAGTCGTCGGCCGGCACGTCCGTAGCAGCCAGATCTTCAACCATTGGCAGGGACCCCAACGGCTTCAATGCTCGAGCACCATGACGACGGCAGTGCCGTGGATCAAGGGTCACCGACCAGAAAGAAGGGTTGTTGCTAGCCCAGTCGCTGTCTGCGGCTCCGACTTCCTCAAGTTGTGGTTGGGACAAAGTTGCCGCCTACCGTGAGAGTTCTGTTGGGTGCCTCGAGTTACCCACTCACAGATCCCCGACGGGGTTGTCCTGAAGATAGAATCGGAAATAGGAGCGCACCTAGGTTCCAAGAGCTAGCACTGTTTAAAGGTCAGACATAGTGGGCTTGGACGTCAATGGGTTAAGGGAGGTGGACATCAAATGTGATGGCGGTAACATACCTATAGTTGTTCAACGGCTCAGCCGTTGGATGGCCCGAGCCCTTTGTCTTCCCGTCCACATTCACGATTTCAAGGGAAAAGGCAGTATCTTGATCACCTTCTTATATCGCCCTGGGTAGATCAACTCACACGCTGTTCAAGGCTCGTGTGCTCCGAGATATCCAACCAAAGATTCAGGCTAGAGATAATTGACAACGCCGATCTCATGGAGGAGAAGGAGTTTGCAACACGTGTGGTGTGCCTCGAGGCCAGCAGACCTAACGTATTATTTGCAATCCTCACATTCTTCCTTCGTTTCTTGCTGAACCGGGTTGACATTGTCATCTGGCTTGGGCTCAGACTTGCCAGTCTCTGCCTGGGCTTGTTGGGAGCTCCCTTTTTTCAAGCTCCGGTCGATATGCCCGAGATCTCTGCCAGGGTCGAGAATGTTTCGAACTCGGTTCTTCAGCTCTTTGGTCTCTGGAAAGCCGCCTTCGGTCTTGCGGTCCCATATCACCGTTTCAGTGGTTTGGACCCCTTCCGTCGATCCTGCTGAAGTAGCAGTTCCGGCACTGGAAGTGTTGTTGACGACGTTTGTTGTTGTGACCGTGACGGTGAACAATCCCCCCGTCGACGGAATCAAAGCAATCTCGCCGATGCTGGTGCTGAATGTCTGAAGTAATTCCTGAGCATACTGTAGGAAAGGATTGTCAGTGGCCGTCAAAGCTAAATTTGGAAAGTCGTGATGTTGGATAGATCCCAGTTTCATTGCTCATGCGAGTCACGGCCAGGGTATCGACACTCACGTAAGCAGCCCTCAAGTTCCATTTACATTGTGTACAGAATGCGATCGCGATACGCGGCACTTTGACCAGTGAGGAAGCTTCGGTTGCCATGGTCGGTTGTGGTGGTAGGAGCGTAACGGAAACTGCGGGATGTGTTGACGTGTTTCAAGGAGACGGAGTTTATGCAGAGATCAGGGGCTTGAGGATAGATTTGCTGCGGGACACTCGAGCTCGGGTACGGGTTCAGAGGCAGCCACCTTCAGGATACCGGGCGAGGTGCTCGGTATATGCGGTCGATAGCTCGCTAGAAAAAAGGTCGCGTGCAATATGAGATCAGTCAATGGCCGCCTTGATCGATGATTATCGTCAAGTCAGGGGCTTTCGACAAGCTGGAGAATTTCCACAGAGCGAGGTAACAGGTGGAGCTTGACACACTGATGCGGTTCAATGCAGATAGAATACGTACTCGGTACGAGGTACGGGTAGATCATCACCTCCGATATAACGGTAGAGTAGATCCCGTACTTGTTCGGAGAATTTCCCAGCAATCGTGGAGGGGAAGAGGAGTCCACAGTCGCTGCTCCAAGTGTCAGATACAACTGTCACACAAACTTGTCAATCCCCTCGATTTTGAATGCTTCATTGAAACCCAACCGGAAGCCCTCGTTTGCCCTCTCACCCGATAGGCACCCAGTTCCCCAGCAACTCGGTTGCAACGTGCTCGATCCTTTTAGCAGAGGAGAGAAGACCCCAAATTTAGTTACATACCCGGGCCACATGCGACGTGTTGGGATTTCTGACTCGGTTATTGGGAACATGGTTTCTAAGCGATGAGAAATAGGGAAGGTCGCCTGCATTTCCGAAGCAAAAAGGGGTTATCCTGGAGTCGTTGTTTGGGCACAGCGGTGTGCCCTGGTGCTAGGGGCAAGGGATCCTTGGGTAAGCGGGAAATCCCCAATCTTGTACACCCAAAGCCGGGATTGGGTGGCCAAATTTTGCCATAGACGAGTTTGAGCCGTGCTGGATGGAGCTATTGCTGTCCGTGGTATCGTCTACAGGGCATTAGAAAAAAGTGCCCAAAAGACCGGTTGATCGTGTGGTAGATTCGATAAGCAGGAATCACGCTCTCGTTACGGTGAGGAGCTTCGTTCCCAGCAGGGACGAACAGAAAAAGCATGATTGTGGAATTGACTTGAATTGGAATGCATTCAGGTAGCCTCCTACAGAATCCTCAATGGAAAAACCCATTGTCGAAGTTGTCGACAGGGCGAAGAGAAGCTGAGTCTGTAACCAAGCACAAGGCGCAACGCAACGTACATTAATACTCCGTGCTGCCTCTCCTGTTGTTGGTTGACATAAAAACCTGTTGCGATGTTGCGTGACTCTGACAATTGTGAACGCCTTCTTGCGCCGAATGCTTTTTGACTCGATCAATACCATACCACACCTCTCTGAGTGCTCCGTTGTGTCCCTTTTGTGACCCAATCCGAACAGCTTCGACAAAACTCGATTACATGACAGTGCAACACCCTTCACTACCTCCACTCTGTGGATTGTATGGATCTTCCTTCCTATCCACCTGTCCCCAGACCGACGGTACCATGTAATCTCGTGTTTGGTTGCAGTAGTTGATCAAGCTGTGGCGGCCAAACATGGTTAGTGGACGACCCTTGCTTTCGAACCACGCAGAGCTTGGAACTCTACACAACGTACCTCATGGATGCTTCTGCGACTTTGACACGAGGCCTCTCGAGATCTTCCTTGAGACGCGAATTCAGTTCTTGAAGCCGCCTAAGTTTAAGATCTGCCATGCTTTGTTTTTTGGACTTGGCATCGCCCCCATCCCGCACCGCATATGCAGCTGGCATGTTGGGTTCTTGCAAGAAAAGAACTCGTGGCGGTCGAAGAGGAAGGCGTGGTAGTCAAGGATGCAGGTGACGTCGAAGTCGCTGGCAAGGGCAGGACGTTCGAAATAGCCGGCGGGGATTGCGGTGTAGTTCTTGGTAGGGATACGTTGAGTGACTCGACGAAGGGTGGGAGTTGCGCGACGAACAACGGTTGGGCGTGGGGCTTCCGGCTCTTCTGCCTTCTCCTCTGGCTTCTCTTTGGCAATTTCGTTGTCAAAGTGTTCAGCCCACTGAGCCTGCAAGTTGTCGATGGCGCGGATCTCCTTGTGTTGATGGTGGTAGGAACGAGAGGAGCGATCGAGGACACGCTGGTCAGGATGGTAGCCTCGGCGAACGAGTTCTTTCTTGCCTGCGAGAAGATGGAATTAATAGGGATTGATTAGCAGGGGGAACTTAAACTGCTACCTTCCGGAAGAAGAGACGCCATGTTGTTTTGGGGTAAGCGTGATGAGTGCGGTGGTGCAAAAGAACAGCTTGCGAAGTGCGTTTGTTTGGGTACACGTGACGAGACGTGAGGAGGAAAATACGGTGACGCATTGGAAGACAATTTATATTCAGGAGGTGTCGTTCGGGGAAACATTGGTCCGGCAGAATCAGTGCCAAGCTGCACAACACAGGGCAGTGCGATTTCGACCACTTTTGACATCGTCACTAAGGCTCCTGTCGGCAATCATTCAGTCACAAGTCCATCTCTAGGACAGACTCATCGGCCATCTGGGTAGAGTCTTGAGAGATATCATTTGCTTGATCGTCTCTTCCCTCATCTCTCTTGTGACTCAACCAGCCGACAATCAAGATGCCTCCGCCACCCCATATCAGGCCTGAGAATGTGCTCAGGGTAAGGCAAAAATCCCTTTAACTCCCGTCGCGCACAATGACTGACAGAACCCTTCAGCGAGCGCAAGAGCTCATCGCCGTCGACCAAACCCAAGCCGCTCTCAACGTCCTCCATGAACATGTCACCTCCAAACGTTCCCGGAATAGTCCCATCTCCTCCTTGGAGCCTGTTATGCTCCTTTTCGTCGAGTTGTGTGTCGATCTGAGAAAGGGCAAATCTGCAAAAGATGGACTTTACCAATACAAGAACATTGCGCAAAACACAAACGTGGGAACGATTGAGGTATGATGAATCACAACCCCGGCGCTTATCGTTGTCTAATACATGCTGACCACTTGCAGTTGGTTTTGAAAAAATTCATTGAGCTCGCCGAACAAAAGGTTCAGGAGGCTCAGGCCAAGGCCGATCAGGTCCAGTCGTCGCTTGAGTCAGCGGCAACTGCCACGGACCTGAATGTCGAAGACCTTGAAGCTACTGAAACCCCAGAGACTATCCTTCTCGCCACTGTCTCTGGCGAACAATCCAAAGATCGAACGGACCGAGCGATTGTTACGCCATGGCTCAAGTTTCTCTGGGAGACGTATCGCACGGTCCTGGAAATCCTCAAGAACAATGCTCGACTAGAGGTCATGTACCAGGGTACCGCTCATCAAGCATTCGATTTCTGTCTCAAATACACACGAAAGACCGAGTTCCGTCGCCTCTGCGAACTCCTGCGAAACCATGTGCAGAATGCTGCCAAGTACTCCTCCCAGATGCATGCCATCAATTTGAATGAACCCGACACCCTGCAGCGTCATCTCGAGACACGTTTTCGGCAGTTGAACGTGGCAGATGAACTTGAGTTGTGGCAGGAGGCTTTCCGTAGTGTCGAAGATATTCACATGCTTCTTACACTGTCCAAGCGGCCGGCAAAGAACGTCATGATGGCCAACTACTACGAGAAACTCACAAAGATCTTCCTCGTCAGTGACAATTTTTTGTTCCACGCCGCCGCATGGAACAAGTATTACAACCTCCTACGACAGTCAGCAACTGCAGTTGCATCTGGTCAGTCTCCCAAGCGTGACAACCCTGTTGTCACCGAAGACTCTTTGACCAAAGCTGCCTCTTTTGTATTGCTCTCTGCGCTGGCAATCCCCGTCATCAGCACGTCTCGTTCGCGGGGCGCTTTGGTCGATGTCGATGAGGCGCGGAAGAACAAGAACAATCGCCTGACCAACCTCCTCAGCATGCCATTTGCTCCGACAAGGGCCGGACTCTTCAAGGACGCACTCAGCAAAGGTTTGCTCAAGCGTGTTCGACCGGAAATTCGAGACCTCTACAACATCCTTGAGGTTGATTTCCATCCTCTGTCGATCTGCAAGAAGATTTCTCCCATCCTGGCACAGATTGGCTCTGACCCCGAGATGGAGAAGTATGTCCTTCCCCTGCAGCAAGTCATTCTCACCCGCCTCTTTCAACAACTCTCACAAGTCTACGAATCAGTGGAGCTGAGCTTCGTGACCCGGCTCGCTCAATTCCCTGCGCCATTTGAGGTAACTCCTGCCATGATCGAGAAGTTTATCATGAATGGTTGCAAGAAAGGTGATCTATCCATCAGACTGGACCATATTTCTGGTATCTTGGCCTTTGACTCGGACGTCTTCTCCTCGGCCAAGGCTCTCCACCCAGGCAGCGCAGCGGGATCGGCAGAGAGCGAAGTTGGCTCCGTCCAAAGACTCCAGAATACTCCAGCGGAAATTGCACGATCCCAGCTGACAAGACTGGCAAAGACTTTGCATGTGACTTGCATGTATGTCGATCCGTCTTACAATCAGGCCCGCCTAGCGGCGCGAGAAACCGCCCTCGCTCGTGCTGAGGCCGGAGCCGAACAAGAGCACCGGGAGACTCTGGAGAGACGTGTCGTCATCGAGAAGAAAAAAGAAGCGGCTTCTGAAGCTTTCCAAAAAAGACAGAGAGAGGAAGAAACGCGTCGCCGTATCCGTGCCCAACAGCAGGCAGAGGCCGAGTCTCAACGTCTACGCGATGAAACTAGGGCTCGTGAGCTCAAGCGTGTCAAAGATGAACAGGCCCGCATTCGACGTCAAGAAATAGAGAAACAGCTGGCCGAACTTCAAAGTGGCATGAAGATCGATCTCCAAGACGTGAACATTGACGAACTTGATTCGAATCAAATTCGTTACCTCAAGTTGTCACAGCTTGAAAAGGACAAGAAAGAGAAAGATGAGCGCATCCGCATCACGGCCAAGCGTCTCGACCACCTGGAGCGTGCATTCCGCCGAGAGGAACTCAAGTACCAACAACAGGATTACGAGAAGCAGCGAGAGGAAGACATGAAGATCTACGAGCAAAACAAGCAACTCATGTTGAAGGAAGCACAGGAAAAGCACAAGGAAGGGCTCGCCCTGAAGCACCGTCTTAGCAGACTCGTGAAGGAGTATGACGCCTTCAAGGGCCAGATCACAGAGCGTCGTGCTGCCGAGTTTGAGAGGCTTCGCAAGAGAGCTGAGCGGGAGTTCGAGGAGGAGAAGCGCAAGCGCATCAAGGCTTACCATGAGGAAAAGGCCAGACAAGCTGCTGCCCAAGAAGCTGAAGAGCGCCGCATTCGTGAGGAGGAAGAGCATCGCCAGCGTGAGGAAGAGGAGAAGGCTAAAGTCGAGGAAGAAAAGAAACGTGTCGCTGCAGAGAGACGCGCGCAGGCCGAGGCCGCCAGGCTGGAACGTGAAGAGGCTGCGAGGAAACAGATGCAGCGTGAGGAAGAGGCCGCAGCGAGGCGAGCTGCCCGAAAAGCCGAACAGACAACACCCGCCCCAGGACCGTTCTCTCGCGGTCCACAGAGAGAAGCTCCTCCCATGGAGGCCCGTACTGAGTCTCAAGATGGTACACGAACTGCACCCCGTCTCAATCTGGCCAGCAAGGCTGGTGGCGGCTGGCGCGAACGACAAGCTGCAAAGGAAGCCACCACAACTGTCGGCCAAGGACAGGCTCCTGTTGAAGCTGCGCCTTCAGCTGCACCTCCCGCTCAAGAGCCACCAGCCCGCCGCCCAGGCGGATATGTGCCACCACATCTTCGTGAAAGCGGATCTACTCGACCTGCGGCAGACCATCCACCTGCCCGTGACTATCACCCGCCTGCTCGCGACCACCTTCCACCAGCGCGCAATGCGTCCGCTTCTCCCGCTAATGGCGCACCAAGTGGACGTTATGTGCCGATGCACATGAGAGATAGTGGCCGCAGTTTGTCGAGAGAAGGCGCCGGTTCTCCAGCACAGGGCAGTGGTGACGAAGCAGCGCCGAGAAAGCCTGCATCAGCAGCTCCAGGAAGGTACGTGCCTCCGAGCATGCGCAATCGCCAGCAGTGAGATGAAGGGGTTGGACGGAGCGGCAAGCAAGGGAACTAAGGGAGAATGAGGACGTGGAGACGGTGATGGAGGTTCATTCTCGCCTAAAAAGCTAGGTATCTGTAATTTAAGTCTCCAGGCATTGAGTCAGTCTTTTGCATCCAAATTGAGACGGCCACATAGTTATATTAGCGGCGCAATCAAGACAGGGGCACACGGCCAATTCCCATAGCAACTGGGGGAGATTCTTGTTGGCTCGACAAGTCCAAGTGCTTTTTTTGCCGTTGATATCTTGTTCGCCGCCCAATCTCACCCTTGGACATTCGCCATCCCGCTCTCCCTACATGATCATTGCTGTTCCCTATGTATTGGCAGCACTATCCATAAAAGCCGGGGACAGAGTCACCTCCAGCACGACCCTTCCCACGCCTGCGTCCTGGACGTCCACAAGGACGCGACTCCTCCCACCGAGCCTTTCCACCTCCCTGACGAACTCGTCCACTCCGCCGCCGACGCCAAAGTAGACCCTCTTTGCGGCGACCCAGGCTCTGGGTGGTGGACTAGGCCTCCCTATAACGGGCGCGGCCGTAAAGCGACGGTAATGAGAAGCTAGGATACCGAGGACGGTTTCTGTAAACGCCTTGATCGAGGAGGGCGAGTAGACTGTCTCGGATGCCAATATGAGCAGGTTCGTGGGTTTGGGTGGGTGCTGGTGATCCGTTTCCCCAAGTGATGCCTGCGGTGATGGCGGTGATGGCGGATAGACCAGGTCTAGAAATGCCGGGCCCCATCCCCCCGATATGAATTCGAACGATATGTCGTCGGCTGTCATGTCTTGGATGGTGCGACTCACGAGGGCCTCGCCTCCTAGTTCTTCGAGGTCGAGGTCCCCGTCGGCCGGGTTCCCCCGGTCATCGAGAGGGTGAGAGACTCTCCCAGAAGAAGCGAACAGGTAATTGAGGAAGACATTGGGAGCGGTCGCCAGCCGGAGGACGTCGGCGTTGTAGTCGCACAACGTCACTTTGAGGCTCCCACCGTGCGTTGTTGGTCTCTCTCGTCTCCTGTCGATGAATTTCTGCATGAGCGCGAGAGTCGGCAGAGCACTTCCCGCGCCGAGCTCGACGACCTCCCAGGCCTCTGGCCCGTCGTCGTCGTCTTCGTTCTCCTGACCTTGACCATAACCGGACACATCTTTTTCCGTGATGACGAGGGAGGCCAGATCGAGTGCGCACTCCCACGTCTTGAAGCCTCCCTCGTAGATGCCTGACGAGAGGTCGCCGCTTTCTAGGCCCGAGAGGAGCGTTCTGGCCGTGTCCTCTTCTTCCTCTTCCGCGGACGGGTTCGCTTCAGCCATGAGTTGAGCGCGGATGTCAAACACCGAGCGACGGTAGACGGACGTCACGGCTCCGGGGTCATTGGAGTTGATGTCGCGTAGCTTCCCATATTCTGAGAAACTAGGTATGCGCAGCGTGCCGTACGATACCCGGGATGGCAACGATGCTAACTGGGAAGGAGTCGATTGGTTATGAGACGGACTTTTCTCTTGCTTTTGTTCAAAACAGAGGGGTTCTTTTTTTTTCTCTGGATGTGGAGGACAAAATGGCCGCAAAGGGGGTTCAGGGCTCGCAGTCCATAGATGGACAGAAACTTACCAGTTCTTCCAGTGAGTGTCTCTTGGGCTCTACGGTGTTTTGAGGGGACTCTCTTGAGTCGGACAGTGCGCACTCGGAGATCTTGTTGGTGAGAGCCTCGTGCTCTGTGGCTTGGCCGTCAACCTCGATGTCATCGCCGCTGAAACCAAATGAGAACGACATGGGGTATTCATCAAAAGGGCTGTCCCTCGAAATTCAAAAAAAAAAGGACGGCAATAGAAGTTTCAAAGTCTTGCGATATGAGCAGAAGTGGAGTCTAAGAGGAGGAAAATCTATATCTACCCTTTACTGTAACTCTCACCCTAGTGTCGCCGCTTTTAAAACGACTACTTCTTCAGAAAGACTTATGATGCCGAAGTTTTGAAAGGTGCACAATGATTACTTGTACTTGAGTATGGAGCGGAATATACGTTCTCTTGGGCTTTTTCTTCTCCTCAGTGTTGTCCTTAGAGCCTCAGCATTCCTTCGCTCTCATCTAGTCCTCATTTTCAGACCTTCGTCCGTCCACTTTGTCCCACTTTGTCTGGTTCGTCTGGTTCGTTTGGATTTGCATTTCGGTCGCCCCGCAACGTGACTTCTTGAACACTGTAAGCATATATTACGGTCCCCTCTGGTGAATGATTCGATTCCTCGTCGTGCTGCCGCGAAAAACCCGCTGAGGCTGATCCAGGTGCCGACATCTCAACTGAGGTGCCTTTTGATTTCGTCTTGCTAACCTTTAGCCCGGTAGCGATCATTAGGCCAACGACCACGTAAACTGTGACGGACATCGTGCCAGCCCCGAAGTCATTTCGTATTTCCGGTTGTGCGGCACATTGACTTAAGTAGTCTGCTGAGGGAATAAATGTTGAAACTTCCATGAGTTCAGCTTGCGCAGTCTCTGATTGGTTGGAGAATGCAGAATAAACGCTTGAGGCGAATTGACAATCCCGGCGGCGACCATGGTGCTTTCCCACAGACCAGTTAGGTGTCCCAATTGTGTTTTGATCCTCTGGTGATACAGGGATATGGTTGTCATACTTGGAGTTCAAGTCGAATGGATCCATAAGCAAGCTCCCTAGAGGTATGGAACCTGGTGAACGAGTATAGTCGGAAGTATGAATATAAACCGGAGCGCTGGAAAACCTAGACTGCTGCAGCTTAAAGGGATTTGTCAAACCGCGCATCCCCGAGTCATCGTGCCAAAACATGAAGACGAACAACCAGCCAGCGCGAAGGACGGTAATAGCGGCAATGACCAGAGCAATGACTTGGCCGGTCGAATCGATGCCGGAAGAAGGGTGCAGTTGATGGTCACGAATGGTAGTCTCGGCAGTAATCAGTGATGTTAGCGCAAGAACGCCATAAAAGACATACATAAACGTCACTGTTGCGGGATACTCGCCGTAGCGGGCGCTACCACGCTTGGTGAAATGCGGATATGTGATATTGAGGAGCGTTCCGCCGAGCTTCTTTCGTACATCTCCTGTGTCGCGGGTGTCTTTCTCAGCACGGTCGAACGACACCGTGTTCAAAATAGCATGCATTGACATCTGAATAACGCACACAAATCGACACGCAATGTACGTCCAGAATACGACAGGCTCAAGCGGTGATTGAGTAGGCTGGCAGTTACCAAGCCAACCCCACCAGAAGACCGTCAGACAACTGCAGTTGTTTGACGCATAAGACCTATCATTGAGCCCGGCGACGATGGCGGATATGGTCCCAAGTCCAATGAATTGCGCCGACACAGCGATGCCCACCTGCCAGCGTGATGTAAGAGTCTCTTTCGCCGCGAGTTGAATCGATTGGGCCATGCTCTGTCCATCAAGAATCATCGCGCTGACTGCGGCATCCACGGGGGTCAAAGTGCCGCGTCTCATACGGACCATTAATGCTATAGCCAGCGACACGCTGGTCAAGGCTAGCCCGGCACCGACTTCTTTCGACCCGGTCGCCTTGGGGTGGAAGCTACCCAGCAGCGACACGAGAATCAGTACACACACCTGCGCGAATGCCGCGATACGGACCCCTTCGCCAGCGATATCAGCGTCCACATCGATGCTGCACTGCGTACCTGCCTTCTCGATAGACGCAGTCGGGTGTGCGAATGTTACGGGGACCAAGACCACTGCTAGCAAGGCTATGCCGATGGGACCGAACCATTGTCGTATAGGCGTGTACCACCTCCGCGCTTTAACGGTGGAGTTGAAAATGAGAAGTTCAAGTACGAGGATGAGCGTTTGCAGTGCTAGTAACACAGTCACAATCGCCAGCCTGGTTCCAGCAGCCGGAATCATGATTCTGCTCCGCAACGCTGAGACAAATTGGTTGGCGGTAAAGGATATTTGACCCAAGTTTTCGGCGCAATAAGCAGTACGACAATGATTAGCTGATGGACTTTGAGGATGGAGCGTAGAAATCGAAAGATTACAGCAACTAAATCCATCATCAGGCTGCTGAGAAATTCAGTAAAGGCTTGTTAAGGCTGCGGCTGTGAGCCAGCTGGAAGTGATATGATCCATAAATAGTGACTATACGAGGCGGCCAGTTAGTCACATTGTCCATTGCTCCCATGTCTGCATTTGCCCTGTGCTATTATTATTACTATCGAGCCTAGGAGCCATTCTTACCATGTCGCAGGCTCTGGCAGCCCAGGCAGCACATGAAGCTATGAGTTGCGCGAGGGAGCGCAGCGCAGTCTTAACCACGTAGGGAGGGTTCTTAGCCTTTGTTTTCGGCCCCTCGTTTTTGGAGTGGGATGGGCTCTCGATAAGAGCAGGACCAGAACCGAGGTTGAGCCTAGTTGGAGGTTGCCCAGGCAGTGTGAAAACCGTAGTGAGTGGTCCGATTGTGGCTCAGGATTCTAATCATTTTTTGTTCGCGCTGCAGCAACTCCAGGGATATTTGCACACCGGTTTTGCGCGCTGGCGCCTTGACACGTCTCGGTGCGAACCTGTAGGGATCTCTTCAAAGTGTGCATAAGGTGTACCTCGTGGACTTGCGTGCTTGAGCGAATTAAAAGCCCAAGCAACCTCACGCCCGGGGCTCAAGACGATAAGGGTCGCCTTGAAGTGACTTGACAGTTCCATAACTGCCCTTGGCAAAGAGCGCCACGACGAGCGGGCGGCATCACCCTAGGCCGGAAGTGGGCTGAGCTGGGCGTCGATTTACCTGCTCTTGGCACTGGGCATTGGTATTTCCACCAAACAACCCGCAACCAAGCGACTCGAAGGTGCAGAGTGGGCGGAGCCATTTGTGTTCTGTGGCATCTATAGACTCTTTTATGGGCTTCAAAAGATCGAGCCTGTTTAAGAGACGAGGATGAGAGCACTGACAGCACATCAGGCTCATTTTCTCTTCTCCATCAGCGCCGCAATCTTGGGTCGCTTGTCCTCCCATTCGTCCCATACGATCGAATAGACAGCGGTGTGCCTCCCAGGCTGTTCCTCCTGCGTGCCGTTCCTCAATCTGAGGGCTTCTGCCGAGAGGGCCACCTTGCCGCGCGGAAATACGCGATCCCACCTCGCGATCCCTTCAAACTCGAACCCGATCCTCACGGCAGCTCTTCGAGATACGTCGTTTCCTGCATGTGATTGCCATATAACGCGGCGCAGCCCTAGACCGCCTGCCGAGGGTGGATCGAGCGTCCAGAAGAGGAGGAGTCCTATAGCATTGGTCGCCACGTGGGTGCGCTGGAACGCTGGGAAGATCATTGCACCAACCTCGGTGACGGCGTTGACGGGGTTCGTGGCTGTCAGAGACACAACACCGGCAAACTTTGCGCTCGTGTCCAGTGCCCCCGGGGAGACGACCTTGTCCATCACTGCGAACAGACAGTCTGCAGGGGATGCGTGTATACCCTCGTATACCTCTCTCAAGAAGTCGGCCTCGTCGTTTATGACTGGAAAGGGAATGTACGTAAACATGTCTGGGTAGGTCTTGATCATCTCGACAAAAGGCGCCGTGTGGATGCTGGGCTGTAGTCGAGTTAGGTTACCCCTTGTCCAAACAATGCGACTTTGACATGGCGTTCTCCGTAGAAGTGATGTGCGTTACATACCTCGAATGGTACGAGGGCGACAAGCTCGTTCTCCAGGCGTCGCTGCTCATAGTGGAAAGTCTTCTCGGCCATGACTCCAGATGTCGGCTTCACTGTGGGAATCGCCTGCTGGACAGATTCTGTACCGAGTTTCTATATAGTGTGTCTATATGTATCCCACTTATCGACTTTGTAACAGGTGGACAGGCAAGGGAAGTAGTTTCACGCATGGTCTCTTCCCAGACCCGCTGTCAAGCGAGACTCACCGCAAGATTCGGAGTCTACCATCCATCGACCGATCGACATGGCCTGCATAACACCACAGACGTCGCTACGACGTTGACTACATGCAACCATGGCAAATGTACCAACATGGTTGATAAGGAACTTGTCGTTATCACCACGTGCTTCGACTACTCCCGTCCACTATACGCACTGGGGAGATGGCGCAAGCCCAACAGCAGTCGAGATGACTTCCACACACTGATTGCTCGCCCACAGGCCGTTATTCTCACTCAACCTCACGGCTCACACCCATTCCGACTCCTTCTTCTCTAGCCTCACATCCATCAAAGCGCATGCCAGCCGACACATCATTTCTGGGCTCAGGCCCACCTCCTCCCACAACGCCTGCACGTCGGTGCCGAGTCCAATGTGTTCGGCTGTCTTTAGAGACCTTGGGTCAATCCAGGGTGCGAGGCATGGCCACACGTGTTGCGCAGTGGTGAAGAAGATGTCGATGCCGACGTCTCCGATCCCCTTGATCTTCTGAAGCTCCGCTCGGATCTTGCTCCGATCCTGGGATGCGGTTTTCACGACATTGTTCAGATCGCCTTCTGCTCGAGCATCAGTCGGGCCGGCACAAAAGGTCATAGGGTAATCTACCCCAGACATGAGGCATCATACTTACCGTACTTCTCCTCAACCAGCTCCGCCAGCTGTCCCATAAACGTTGCCGTCTTTTCCCTGCACCATTCCTCAAATTAGAATCCCGATCACGGGCCCTGTGTAGCGACAACTGTACCACTCACCGATAGTGCGTGTATCCGCCTTCCGTGAGCACCTCGGTCCTCGCCTCCCAGCTGCTCTTCTTTAGGACGTCAAGCTTGTGATAACCCGCCTTGATGACGAGGGCGGTCGTTTTTGCCGCAATGCTATGTGACACTCGAGTTGAAGACAATATGGCATTCAAGAGCAGTGCCAAAATGGTGTCAGGAGTTGCCTTGGCTGGCTGTTCAAGGTTGGTGTCGGAGAGAGGAAGGGCGTTGAAATGCTGGAGAAGTCTCTCGATCTTCTGACTATGCGGGCTGCTGTTCTTCTTGGGCTTCCCCTTTGATCTCGGTGTTGACTTTTTGTGACCTGTTGAGCTGTCATCGCGTGCGTCCTTGGTGTTAGAGCCCTCTGCCTTTGCGACTTGGTCCTTCTTTCGTTGTTTCGTTTCTGGCTCAGTGGATTTCGCCTTGAGAGCCTCGTCGCGGGGTCTCTTGGTACCCGTTGTCTTCTCGTCGGCGGCCCCAGTCTCTTGAACCTGGGCTCTATCCTTGGCCCGAGTTGTCACCATGGTGGACTGGACGATGCTTGCGATCTTACTTCTCTTCTGTGGAGGTTGTCGAACTTTGGGGAGGATGCGAAGTCGTTGACGTACTGGTGATCCTGGGGCAGGATGATGTCACTGCATGTCTGATCGTCCTGGGCCTCCTGATTCCACGCAGAGATACCCAGGTTCCCGTTTCAACACGCCACCAGTGTGGTCAAACGCCGGACCAATGCGTAGGGGGAAGCGGGAGTGGCTATCACACGTCCGCTGTCTAAGTCGTCAAGGAAGCAAGGCGTCCAATGACATCTCAGCCGGAAAGACACTCCGGAAGGTGTTTCTTGTGACGTCTCATTCAGAACCAGTCTGGGGTGGTGTTTGAGGACGTCTGGCTCTCATCATGAGTCTCTGGTATTCCTCTATCCACCCATAGACGGTCGGGACGTTTCATGCTACAGCAGACAAGTGTCATCCCTCAAGAAAGGGCCAACAAGAGGAGTGAAACAACCTGGATATTGGTACCTACGCCAGGCTGGAGATGTGTCAGGGGTTCCCGCTGAGTGATTGGCCATGGTCAACTCTCGGTAAGGCTGTATATTCTCCGACTGGGGACTTCTTGCAGATCAGTCACCAGAAACAGAAGGACGACCGTCAATCTGACATGTCGATGATTCCCGCAGCCTTTCGACACCTTTCTGGCACCGCTGGTCTTCATCATTTACACAATCTTGACGTCAATACGCGATCAAGAACTCAAGCTTGACTGCACAGAGGACGTGGACCTCGTGGTAAACTGGCAACAGGCCGATTCTGCCACGATGCTCTCGATGGCTGGAAAAGTATTCCGCAAACAAGACCTATTCAGACCCATCAGCGCTTTCATCCCTGGAAGACCTTGTCCAGTCCACATTGTCCGTGACATATACAAGCACCAGGTGGAGGAAGTGGCACAAGTTGGTACAAAGTCATGACGTCAAATTTGCGGTGATAAGTCGTGAGGCAGTCTGTCTGTCTATATAATAGACTTGTCTGCCTCTCGGGTCACCCATCAGATCAAGTTTCTTCACAAACCACCCACTTGCGAAACTCAGAGCTTACTTACACATACACACACACATCAAGCTCAAATCACTACAACAATCCTCCAAAAATGACCGACAACACAAACCCCGGAAACTTCGCCAACCGTCCCAAGGAGGAGGTTCAGGAAATCGCCTCCAAGGGCGGCCAGGCCAGCCACAGCGGCGGTTTCGCCAGCATGGACTCCGACAAGCAGGTGAGTTTTGTACATTTCTGTCATACATATTTGTTGGACCTTTGTCATAGGTTCATGTTTATGTTGCGGAACCTTGTATTGTCTTGTCATTTGGGCTGTGTATAGCTGAGCCGAGCTGACGGGTTCTGTGCCTTTCGCAGCGAGAGATTGCCTCCCAGGGCGGCCAGGCGTCGAGTGGATCGTTCGAGAAAGGAAGTGAACGTGCCGCTGAGGCGGGTCGCAAGGGCGGCTCTGCTACGGGCTCGTCCTAGGTTGTGCGGCACTCGCAAACGGGCAGACAGATTACTGTCAAGCAGACGGGTCGATGAGAGGTAGAGAGGTGTCTGCCATCACTTGGGATCGGCAATTGCTTTCGGGTAATGGAGAGCATACCATTTGTTATCTGTATTTATATGTACATGTACCAACAACACATCCACATCCTCAACGGGAGAAACAAGGATAACCTCAGCAGCCTGAGGTTAACAACAGCGATACGCTTGATGTCATTCCAAATTCCAGTCCTATTCTCCAATATCTTAGTTAATCAGTACCTAACCGATTTCGACTGTACCTCTGTGTACCTCTATGTACATATGTATATACCCAGCGAGTAGCTACCGCAAGGTCCAGACGTTATGCTATACACACTATAATCTCCAATCAAGGGCTTTTAAAACCCCATCGGCCATGAATAACCGTTCACCCAGCGTATTCTGTTCTCCCAGCGTATTCTGTTCTCTCTGGATTGGTCAATGTGTCCGGACAAACCCGTCCCGTGAACAAATTACTTGTTGCAAGGAAAAGTCGCTTGATATCCTGACATGTACATGCAACGCTCGAGCAAATGATATACCGCCCCTTTTGTCTCTCAACAAAAAAAAAAGAAAAAAAAAAAAAAAAAAAAAACCAA